TAATTCAGTAGTCAATAATAATCGTTTGCCAGCATGTGGCGGGGGCCTAAGAAACGCTTCAAACGAGTTAAATTACCATAATAATATGGATTAGTTCTAGAAATCGTATGTACCTACATGTTGTGACACTCGTGGCGTATACTAGTGTATTTATAAATTCTGATACTAACAATTATTTGTACCACAACAATGTAAATTCCATGTAAACTCAATACAAATATTCAACAAGACCAGTGACCACCCTTCTGAAATGTAGAAAAAAAGTCACCTATATGTGTTCTATGAATTAACCTTATTGGCGATAACGATACAATTTGACTTTTATGAACTAAATTACACTTAGGTAAGTTATAAGGTTTCATGTGTGTGTTTTAAAAAAAATATATATTTCAGGAGATTATTTTGAAGCTTTCAGTACTTGCATGTGATAAAAATGTATTTGAACATTAAAAAAAAATAGGTACAATGTGTTTGTATTTATTTTCTCCGCAGTCAGGACATATTACTATTATTATTATAAAGTATAAATAACATAATAATATCTTAAACCCGTCCGGGCGCAGGGATGAAGTTACAGCCGACCGGATGTGTACATAATAATATGCCACCACGGATTGTTTATAAATAGAAACGTTTAATTAAGTGAACGCGCAAGTATTATTGTTCGACTGATGCAGGATGTTACGATTATATTAGTATTGTCTTAGTTTATAGGGAATAACATAATATTATTAATCCTACATAAAACCAAGCCGATACGAATTGACAAAAAGTGCAAACGCTGATAGTAATTAAATTTTTAATTATTAATATTTTTTCTAAAAACCATTTATTCGTCGACAGTTATAAATCAAATAGGTATGCAAATATCATAGTGTTAATAATTTTTGTTGAATCGTGGACCGTACACACACGTTGGTCGTTATTCCTGTCGAGTGAGTCACCCACTTTGTATTCCTGACAATAGGTCCCCTGCTGCCGGTGCTAAGCGTCAGAGTCGAGGGGGATGAAATTTGAAATCTCCTATGAGCCGCTTGCACTATATTATACGGCCCTGGACGACCGCGTAAGAGTCAACTAAAACCATCGCCACTGACTACCGCGTCGATGTAGTGATTGATAGCCTCGACTTGGAGATAACGCTAGCTTATAATTATTTTTTTCCCTCGTTAATTTCAAAAATAAATCCGTGTTCCCGGAGTCCCAAATGAATGGACTCCACTCCCTGCACTTCCTCCCCCACCAACCAGAGGTGGTATGGCCGGCGAGGTGACACGAACCGCGACTGAGAAAACTCGTTCCGATTGACAGCATGTAGAAAACCATTTGAGAAGTTATCCTATATATATTTTCCTTTGGCCCTAAGCCAAAACCTAAACAAATCAACCGTCAGTCGACTATCAGCTGTTCGGTAAATTCGCCCTTTTTGGACCAGACAATCCGGAAACGTGTTCATTCCAAGTGTATTAATTGTGTCTTGTCTTAATTTTCATCGATCTTGTTTAATTATTTTTGAATTTGTCAGAAATGTTTTAGTCTGCGAATACACTGTTGTGAATATATTTAGCACATGTAAAGTTCCGACACCTAAACAGATATCATTTTGGAAGTGCGACAAAATTGAACTAAATATGAAAGAAAACTAAGTTTTGTTCATATCAGCATATAATATATGTTAAATTATATAATATTTATTGTAATAGTGAAGAATACACATGATTAAACGCTTTTGTTTTTTTATTTGATAATCATTTTTTTTTTTCTAAGTCTGAAAATTAGACTTAAGGTAGATCTAACATAAGGCTATAACATACAATTTTCTCAAAAATCAGTTGTCAAACTTTTTTTTTTATTAAGGAAACCCCCCCCCCCAAAAAAGGGGAAAAATTACACTCACGGGACACGGTGTATTAAATTAACAGATTGTTAATTGTGAACGCATCAATAGGTATCGAGGTAATATTTTCATTATATTAAAGTTAAATACGATGTATGAGTATTGCAAACAATTATTATAGAAAGACAATCGTCCCTTACTGTATCTGCCCTATTACTAAAAATACTATTTTAAGCATATTTGATTTTACAATATTTTTTCTCTTAACACACTTCTATCCATCTACGTATTCGCAACGAATATAATAATATACTTAACCCTCTGAATATCCCTTAACTTAAAATTAACGGAAGGAGTTTATCAAACCTATATTTTAGTTCAACGACTTTATCAGGTGGACTATGAAGTTTTATAAATATAAATTTTAAATAGAAAAAAATTAAAAGCAAGTGTTGCCTTATGTGGGAGGCTCAATTCGGGTAAAAGCCAAGGAGCAGACAATCTATTATTGATAATAATTACTGATCATCCAACTTGACAACATAATTCGAATAATTATTTTTTTTAATGGTTTCCAAAGGCAACTCGATGTTTATAATAATATAAAAATGGTATTTTAGTACAAAAAAAACTTATTTCAACCGATTGTATAATATATACATTTATTATAATAAAAATGTCCAGCCGAATAAAAAGAAAAGTTCAGCGTTATACTGCATGCGTGAAAAATATATGCATAATTTATTATATAGATTGAACAAAAACTGAAACTTTGGCCTGTCATAGCATTTATAATGAATATGCTTTCATATAGGAGACCAACGCTGTGAGATTGTTAAACGTCTTTAATTTCAAGTCGTATTATTCATTCGCGTCGGGTAAATCCGTTATGGTCTTGAAAACTTTTTTTTTTTAAACTTGCCAGGTTTATCGAAAAACTTTATTGAATATAAATTATTTTGTGAGCGGTGTGTATTTTTTTTTTACGTTTCCTTCAAATTTACATGATGAAGTAACGCTATTTCTCGTACACTCGAAATCATATTAAAAGCGCTTTTATTTAATTGAAATGAAAAGAAATCTGACGGGTAAACATTTCGGGATGTTGTCATGAAGTAGTACATAATACAATATGTTTATATATATATATATAAGTAAAGTGTTTACGGATTTAGACAAGGCAGCGTTTGCCGGAATTAGGGCTCAAAATGTGTGTACACAATAGAAAACAGCGGGGGTTAAGTGTAATTTACTGTTTAATTGGACAGATGGTTTGTATTTGTCGTATATACTTCAACAGGAACCCGGTTTTCGTATACTTGCCCTGTGTAGATTGTAGGTACACGTTTTTGTTTAATCCCTTTATTGATATTTCTAAACATACAAACAAAGTCTTCTGATAGTACAATCAATATAATACGATCCTATATCAATATAATAACATTTTAATGAACCCAAAACGAGTATCCGATTATAAACATTAGTAGTAAGATTAAACCATTTTGTTGAGGTATTTTATTTCACGATACATTTTAAACGGTTATTTAAATAAATATTATAAATAAATATTTTAAATCATTATTTTTTTATGCAACTACAGTAATGCAGTAATTTTGAAAAATGTTTGTTAGAACCCAGGAGATGGCTATAGTTACTTTAATGTGACTCAAACAGCCGAAGAACCAAAGTCTACCTAGTTTGATGAAAAAAATACCGTTCAATATATTATCAAGATGATAAAATATCAACGATAACAGTATCCTGAAAAAACCATAATATTTTGTATAGGGTAAAAACCTATGTTTAGGCCAATTTTCCGTCAAAAACTACCCGTTTTACTTCAATCAGTCCGATCGTTGTATTGATGCGATAAGACTTCTGAAAATATATATGAGTTCGGCATGAAGTCTACTTGAGATCGGTTAGCTTTCATTTTTTAATTTTGCCCTCAAAATTCCACAAGTTTGATTTAAATTTTTTGAAAAATGTTAAATCTCGTAGTAGTGTTTAAAAAATACCATCAAATGAAACTGGAAAAGTGGCCTGACCGATCTCAAGTAGACTTCACGCTGAACTCAGATTGATTTCCAGAAGTCTTATCGCATTAATACAACGATCGGACTGATTAAAGGAAAATCAGTAGTTTTACAGCATAAAATTGTATGAATCCTGAACAGTAGCCGTTTTAACCGACTTGTGCGTGTGCGTACGAGAGTCATTTCAACATGAATTAGACGGGTGCGAGGACGGTAGGGTAAGATAACAACACTCACACTAATGTTCATTTACTACGCACACAATGACAACGCGTAACAGAAAAAAAACAGACATTGCCTACCTACAACTCCTTAATTAAGGCCGGTACCCAATCGCCTTAATGTTAATGTTGTAATATATATAGGTACAAACTACCAACCGCTCAACAATGAAGACTTATTTTTTTCTTTTTTGTTATCATACTGGTCTCTGTTTCCTTCACTATACAAGCTATTATAAAAGTTAGTCCAACTCTTTATAAAATTACTCTATGGTTAAACCCCTCGTGATACCTGGAAAATAAGCCATACCCGATCTTATAATTTTTTTCTTCGTTTATTGTTTGTGGTGAAGGGTTTTTTGTAAATATTTTGTTCTATAGATTCGAGTTTAAATTAAATTAAATTTTTTTCATATACCTACCCATTGACTTACCTTTTGGAATGTATTTTTATATTATCAATGTTCGCGTTAAATTAATCGAGAACCAAATAATGTTGTATTATTATGTAATTCGGTCGTTGCACTCTGTTCTCGCTGTGCTATTTGTTTTTATTGCACCTCCGAACATGGCGTTCCGGCTCCCGTTCCATTATAAAACGATATTATTATTTAAAAAGCGATAACGCGCGTTAAAAATGTGTGTACCGGCCGGGCACTCACAAACTATATGACGTACAACACTCTTGCCTGTGTGCTGTAATAAAATAATAATAATTATTATGATTATTATTAGTGGTCGTTTGACGGTGTCGTGGAGGTCGGACGTCGTTATTACTATTATTATTATTATTAGTATGACGTTTGTGGCCACCCTGTACCAGCGGTCGACGGCAATATTATTTTGAAAACGGATCGCCTCTTCAGACTTCACCACGTTGCTGCTGTTCAGTTGGCTCGTGCTCGTGCCGGACCGCGAAATGTGCGTCTCCCGTCAGTCGTCCCTTCGTCGAGGGTGTCGCGTTGTGAACGCCGTTCGCTCGTGTGTAAAACGTCCAAGTCCTGAGTATTGTGGTTTTGTTTTTGTTTTATGTAAATAGTTTCTAGATTTGTTTTCTTCAGACTTCATCGAGGTTAAAAAAAAAAGTAAGTGTGTGTGAACGACTTGCAGCGTCAAAAAAATCACACATTTACTTCAATTCCAATTTTATTTTTATTTTATAATACAAAAATTTGTAAATAGATTAAATTATCAGGAAAATCTAAAAAAGAAGTAAAAGAGTATGTGTATGTCTAAAAAAAAATTAAATTTATAACATCTGGTAGATAGCTTTAGATTTCTTGAATAACTATAGGGCATCACCTAATTCAAATTTATTTTTTCTAACGAAATAAAATTGTTAAATAATATATTGCATTTCTCCTAAAATGGGCACGGAAAGATTAACAATTCTGCGGTGTCTCGAAAGTTCATGCTCGCTTAAAAATATAGTAAAACATAAGTGTACTAATCTCGTTCTACTCTGAACACTATGGGTGCAGATTTTGGATTTTAAAAACCTCAAAATTTAAAATTAGTGTAACATTTATTTTTATTTCAACGAATCTTTCACTAAAAAATAAATGTAGGTACTTCGAAAAGCACTAATTTTGAATTTAAAGATTTTTAGTATCTCAATTAGGGCTTCCCTAATTCTCCAATCTTTATCATATCTTATAGTTCTTTTTTTAATTCTCAAGTATTTCTTCTGAAAATGTTAATAATTATTTTTGTAAAATTACAGTTATTTTTTATTGTAGGTATTCGTCCTTTATCTGATCAAATAAATTAAAAACAAAATTATATTCTCTGAGCAACACGACGCAAGTGCCTTTCTAAGTGGAACATTGCGAAGTGGTTATCAGTAAAAAACACGTTTGGCTTGCACCAACAAGTACTATATTATGTAGGATACTGTGTGTACTAAGTGTGATCAGGATAATTTTATAATCCTGTCTATATCCACTAAGTGTTAACAGACTCGGATACAAATGGTTCCAAATACCCTAATCCCAACTAAAGCCGCCTAGACACGATTAAACTGGAGCGGTTCCTGCAGAGACTGAACATAAAAGTTTAAGATCAAATCAAATTATAGTATGGAGTTGAGTGGGACAGTTTCTTATCCTTCTCTTTATACCCTACTGAATCTATTTACGTCAAACATACGAATTTAGAGCACGCTGCTAAAAAACAATAGGGTATTTTTTTATGGACTGATTTCGATAGTATCTTTGGCCGAAGGGCTTCAGCGTTGATGGCAAAGAGTTTTGTGCGCGTTTTCGGTTCGAGTGCTCTCTTGTCATATGGATATTATCTTATGTTGGTGCATAAAAACCCGAACCCTGCGTTATAACACGAACTACATAGTCGTTAAAACAAAGCCCGAGCATAAACGGTTTCCAGACCCTCGTGTCACGCGCACCCTCTGTCGTCTGTCAGGGTTTGTCTACTCCGGTCATTAGAAAATGGTCCAAAAAAATAACCCTCAAACGCTGTCCGACCAATGCCATCCGATTTTCATCAAAAATAAACCGTGGTCGTGGACAGAGAATTAAAACTAGAAAATGCATATAATATGTAAGTTCCCAAACGTTACTCGAGTTACAAACAAACCTAATTTAATACGTATACTAGAACTTATGAATTTTTGTATTAACGAAACGTTCAAAATATTATTATCTATTTAATTAAAACCTCTCAAAGTAGATGTCATAATAGAGCTCAGTGCCACCCGTGCCAGTTCCATACATGCATTTTGAAACATTGTAATAACATTAAGTAGTTTTATCAGTAGACACTGGATTTTGATGGTAGATTTCTCGATTGTTGATTAATAAAAAAAACCTGAAAAAATTAATTTAATCATTGAATATACTATGACCTAAAAATGACATTTACTAGCAATATTGCCCATTAAAGGAAGATAATGAAATTAATCTATAAAAATCAACACTACTTTTTTGTTTTCTAAAAAAAGTTACCTTTACTAAAATACAACTACTAGGTGAAACTTTAATTTAATTCATACACAATTATCGAAACATGTTTTAGAAAATATTTTCCAACAACCAAAATACAAACGCTATCGAAAAAACTTGATAAAACAAAAAAATGTCTTAGACAATTAAAAATAAAATTTATATTTTACTGTGGATTTGCTAATGGGAGAGCTTAGATGCATTATAGATACACTAGTATTTTACTACATTGTATTTTTGTCTTAACTTCATTTTGTGTTGTACGTCGGAAACTGTAGATTTGAAGTGTAAAATAGAAAAATAGAACTTTTTGGCTACATTTAAAATGTAAACTACTTGTAATTAGGACCCATTCAATTTAAAAAAAATAGCATTACTCGATGAATACATAAAAAATATGAAAAATTTGAATTCATCTGACCCCTGATTGGAATTCTGCTTAACGCCTTAACCGCATATTTGAGAGATTTTTTTTATTAAATTTGTATCGTTTGAAGTTGTGATTAAGAGGTTTTCTCATAGAGTTTGCCACTCATTTTGTCGTCGGTCGTGTCAAAGGGCATAATAATATATCCATTAGTATCGAGATCAAGCCGACGCGGTTACTGAAACGTTGGCATATTTTGTAGAATTCCAAGTAGGAAAAAAACACTCTTGGCTCGATAGAACTTTGAGAAAAGCTATTCATCGAGGGTTTTTTTGCTATCGACCCCGTTCCGTTTTTTAACACCTCTACAGTTAATAACTTAGTACCATTCGGTCCAAACGGTTATTTGAAATGCATATTCGACGATGCGTTTGGTAGGTACGATTTATGGGGCAGACCGGTACATTTACACATATAAATAGCTCACACATTATTGATGTTATTATTTTGGTATAACAAGGAAGTGGGTGTTTACGCAATGAAATCTGGTAACCTGCACACGCGGTATACAAAATTCGGTTTTAAATCTAGGCCTGTGCATATGTATGTAAACAAATTATTGTCGGCATCCGATGTCAAAAAAAAAAAACCACCGTAGTATTTATATAGAAATGACTGGGTTTGCTAGGCGATCGGTATAATATTATTAACTGGCGTACACTGTATAAACTATGTGATATATCCAACTTGAGATGTTAGCCGAGCGCAAAAAAAACTTATCTTGTTTGGAAAAAAAAAAATTATTCAGACGTTGTGTATTGATAATAGTTGACTGGATTATTAGTATTCATTAAAACAACCGCTAATATACAAGCAATAAATAACTATAATGATAACTATGATAACGATCTTGTTTACTTACGTTTTGTTTTTACAAATTACATAATAAAATGTTGTCTAAACAGAGTATTAGCTGATAAGTTTAATAAAAACATACCATAATATTTTTTTCGTTTTAGTACAGACAAATATTAAAAAAAAAAACCAATGTCATCAATTTCTAATAACAATATGAGAGCTGTTTAAGACTACAATTGGTCGAAGAAGTTATTTTTGTTACTTCTAAAAAGTGAATAACAAAATAATGACTGATCGAATAATATTTAAATATTGAAAATATAATAATTACGTATTAAACCTAATTTGGATATTCTTGCGATGGAATTTTTATAATAAGATTGAGTTAAAGTGTATTGGCCGCCATGTAAATCTAATGAATAAAATGGTATAATATTATGACAGAACAACGGTTGCATTAACGCTGGTTTATGGAATATGAAGTGTTCAAACACTAATAGACTTGAAAGATTAATATATATTGATTAATGTCCTAAAAATAAATTTTGTAATACATATCTAAATTAACAATAGAACAAATAATGATTATGTTTTTTGATACGAATAAAATGCTTATGTTAATGGTCATAGTGATAACAATATTTTACATTTTTCCTCGTCGGTAACTATTATAATAATAAAAGTCTTAATATTGTAATAAATACAACAGAAACCCTTTTTTAAATACTTTAAAACCAGTTTTCGTTTGAAATATTCTATAGACATGAGTAAAAATTAGAAAAGTATACTTTACAAGAAGCTTACCTACCTATTTTTTCAGATGTGAAGCATAATATTTACCTAAGAGATAAAACTTGATAGGATTAACTAAAATTTCATCATAATCATAATCATATACATACATTGATAGCAAAGAGCATTTTATATTGATAATTATTATTTTTTTCCCAACTTTTATGACGCAGTAAATTAGATATTTTGTACAAAAACATCTCTTAGGAGGAAAACTTTTTTTGAGCAAATCAACAGTTTCAGTGTAAAACCAAACATTTATCATTTTTGAGTGTTACATTTATTCGCCTCGGTCATCGTTTATCGCTTATATTATGTAAAATTTAGATAAATTCTTGATTTTTAATAATTTATGGATGTTATCTTAAACGGTTGGTAGTCTTATAACAATATATATTTTGTATACATATGTCTGTATACACGTTAACTTTTTTGTACAAGACCAATTTACCCGATCGGCACCTCCATAGATCACATTTAATATGGTAATTATTATGTTAGTTACATTCCATGCTATGTAGGTATCTAGCCTATTTTGAAAATCTTTAAACATATTTTATTTAAGGTTAATTTTATTGTGAATAATGGAATTTGTACGCAGTATGGTTATAAAGTTATAAGTTAGGGATATCAATTTTACTATATACTTAACTATTACTATATATTTTACCGTGTACTTATATACTTGATTTTGATTAGCTGCCCGTTATGCTGACATATTTGTTTTTATCATCGCATATTTGATGAAGAAGGGGCGTATAATATGTGCAATAACTATGTATACTTAAATTATGGTAAAAACATTTAAAAACGAGTAGTCTAGATCCGATTATCATTTACTGTACATTTATATTGACCATTATTATTAAGGAAAATTGGAAATATTAACACCGCTTGCGACTTTTTTTTTAGCGTCAATTAATGCTTCGCCATTACTAGTCTGCATTATATTGTACGCCCTTGTGGTAATGCACCGTGAGACGATGCGAATAACTGCGGCTGGTGTTAGGCCGACTATACATATTATAATAGGCGTTTTCAAGCATTCAAGCTCGCGAGAGATGACTATAAAACAGTGCAATATGTGTGTAATAATAGCCGTGATTGC